ACAAACCTGAGACTTATCTTAACCTTGACATAATAGAAGCGAGAAGTCCTTAAAATATCAGGGATTCTTCTAATGAGAAGCTATAATGGAAAAGCCTTTACTTTTGCCATACTGAACCTCCGATATAGAATTTTATAGCTATATCTGTTGAATTACAACATTATAGCAATTTTCATTGGAGAGTCGAAAGTAATCCCGGATTTCTTTTGCTTTTGCTTTACTTCGCTCTGTAATTGGTCCAGAAAACTCACGCCACTTGGTCGCTCGTGTTTATCCCGCGCTTGGTCGGTGTTGCGTTAAATTCTCATTGGCTCTTAACGGTATTTTCCTATCTTTCGATTGGCTGATGTGGTTACTATGGTTTTGGTTTTATGACACTCAATCAAAAGGCGCTCGAAATGAAACGAGGTAACATTAACATCTCACTGACCGGTAAGAATAAGTAATTCACACTTTTAACTGATTTTTTGCCACAAATTGTGGACATTTAGCTTTTTATGGCAACTAAAATAAATACAAACCAAATTAAACACCCTTGACGACTGTAAAACTTCATCTTGGTAATAGCAATGTGACACTTTTTTTCAATAAAAGACTAGAAATCAAGATAAGGTTTGCACTGAACAACACATTACCTTGCCACAATCCTTTCTTGAGGATTACATCTGAAACATTAAAGACAGCATTAATATGAAACAAGCGCCGAGAAAAGCAAGCGTGGAAATTTCGTATTGTTATTTGGCTCTATTCATTACTTCATTATGTTTTCAAAATATTTTGAAACGAATGTATGGCGTATTTGAAGGGACAGTTCTTCCAAATCTACAAAGGCTGACACGGACAGCCTTCGAAAAACCAATAATGGTATAGAGTCAAAGTTATATGCAAGGTTACCAAAAATTACAAAGCAACTGTTTGCAGCCATTATTCTGCTCGTAAGACAGAATGGTGACCTGAGTTGCATTTTGGTTACTGACTACTGTTGTCTCGAAACATGTCAAACATCGCTCCCAATTAACAAATGGTAAACACCACAGCGTACACTATTGAGTTATGGATGGACGCGGGAGGTTGCTAAGCACTCAAGAAGCTAGAGTCGCTCTCGGCTGTCGCCTCGAGCGACTCTAGCTTCTTGAGTGCTTAGCAAACCTCCCAGGTGCATCCATAACTCAATAGTGTACGCTGTGGTGTTTACCATTTGTTTTATAACATAACATTGATACATTGTAGCTAAAGAGTTCCCTTTTATTTAACAAATCTTACGCGACCAGAAAAAATAAGCGCTGGCGGAAAAATAGTCTTTGCATTTGATCACGTCAGCAGCGTACACCCATGGGCAAATGAAGGACGCTAAATTGACCAATCAGAGCGCGCGCTTTACTTTGGTGTTGTTATAAGTTATTCTAAACAAAAATGAAGTGATTAGGATATTGTTGTTTACCGTACAAAAGATAGTTCGGCTGGCGTTTGGTAAACATTTACTTAGATCTACATGGAACAAACTGCTGAAGACTTTCTATTTCAGTTGAAAAAGCATTCAGTTACTTTTCTTATTAACGGAAGATAAAAAAAATATAATTTTTGACGTTATTGAGCGGAAGGAACAACATTCCATGCATATTCCTCTGCAGTTGAGTAGACTTCAGTGATCCACTCAGAAGTCGTGCGTAATTGTTATTTTGCAAAGTTACCAAGTTCAAGGCATTTTGCATCAAAAAATTGACTGTCGTTACTTGTTAGCTTTTGATAGAACTTCAATTACGTCCTTAATTGTTATAAAACAATCAGAGTCAATGTTGAATATAACATTTCCGTTTATCTTGCTGTAGGCTGAATTGTTTTTAGTTGCTGAAGTGCGACAACCAGATCTGTTTAAGTCTATTCATTTAGGTATCTACCGAGTTTTTAAGCGTAGTTTGGTGTGGTGATCTTGCCTTTTCAAGTCGCAGTTCGGCTCCGCAGTCGGCAGAATCGCTACAAAGAATGCAAGTAATAGATATTTTCAACTTTTTTACTGCACTTTGTTCAAGGTATTACTGTTGCGTAGAAATAACTACATAATGACTTGGTTTTTTCGATTGAATTGATCGTGTGAGGTTGCCAACTTAGAACGTTTCTAAAGCTGACATTACGAGTGTTGGGGCTAATGCTCGTAATGTCAGCTTCAGAAAGTCTTTACGTCAGTTTTTCCTTAGCTCTACAGTAACTTTGTTCAAGATATTATATTTGCAAGTTGAAAAATACATGATGACTTGGTTTTATCAAATGAGTTCGAAATGTGATTTGGCCGCGGAAGAGATTTTCTGAAACTGACGTTTCGAGCGATAGCCAGTCAACAAAACGGTTTTCAAGCTCAGTAGTGGTTGATAAAATGGAACACCGTGTAAGGGAATAAAAAGGAACGCAGTGAAAAAATTGAGTGCCATTTCTCACGGGATTCCTTTTTCCCAAACGTGTCATGTCGCAAGAACAAAGGGTTAAGACAAATTATCACGTTGCTTGCGGATATTTTTTACACGCTTAGCAGGCCTATCATGACATGTGGACGCACTGGCGTCTCAAGCCCACGTCTCGTGTTAAGAGAGAAACCCAAAACAGCCGAAATCGCCAAACACTACAACTAACACATACGGGTGAGTTGGTTTTATCGATCTTACGAGTAAAATGTAAAATATTTCGGAATATTTAGTGTTGTAAATCGACACAGACTCCTTAATGAGCAAGGCCCATAACGAAGTTCATATATATATATAACAAGTTAAAAGGCCTCGAGCCAACAGTGACGCCGCACCAGAAGGATCCAAAAGGATCCAAAAGGATCCTTAAAGAATTGTTGGCGCCATCCCGTTATGGCCCTAACACTAAAAGCGAAGGGGTTGCCGAGGTCAAGGGATGTTTTAAATGTAATAGAACAAGATGCGATCTTTGTCGCAACTTCTTGGTTGAATCTAATTCCTTTCTAAGTTTTCAAACAGGCAAAAGTTACAAGATACGATCGAAACTTTCCTGTGATTCTAAGAGCATAATTTATTTGGCTTCGTGTAAGAAATGTCGCCTACAATACATTGGCTCCACAACAAATGACTTTAGGGTTAGATTTCGCAACCACAAGTCTGCTATGGTCACTAAGAAAAAGACCTGTGAAGTAGCGGTACATTTTAACAAAACACCACATGATTTAAGCGATTTCTCATTCCAATGCATTGATCAAGTGCAGGCAACAGTAAACAATTCAGGTAACATCGAGAAACTTCTAATTACCAAAGAAGCATATTGGAGCGCACAGCTGTTCTCTCTGGCACCCTTCGGCTTGAATAAGCGCCAGGAATTTCACTCCAAAAAAAGAATAAACTATAATTAATGCGGAGAATTTTTTCAAATTGGGCGGGCATCAAAGGTCCCAGTCTCAGCGTTAATTGGGAATTTTAGTACAATTCTCGCCTTTCAAGTCAACGCTGGTTCCTTTACATTTTCAGTGGATT